AAGTGGCGCTGTGGCTCAAGTGATAGAGCGCTAGCCTTGAGCTGAAGAGCTGAGGGACAGCGCCCAGGCCCAGAGTTCAGGCCCCACAACAGGACCCCCCCCCCAAAAAAAGGGAGGTTGTTTTCTAGAACCAGAGAGCTCTGTTCTACAAATCATGGCTGTGATGTAGGACATTATGGAAAATTATGGATATTATGGAAAATATCTTCCAGACAACATATGAGTTGATGAGGAAGTATATGTATATGAAATATATATATATGGTTCTGTCAACCCTCCTTTCTCAGCAGGGAGAGATACATGGGGAGAAAATTCTGCTGGGCTGGGAATGTGGCTTAGTGGTAGAGTGCTTGCCTAGTATACATGAAGCCCTGGGCTCGATTCCTCAGTACCACATGAACAGAAAAAGCTGGAAGAAGCACTGTGACTCAAGTGGTAGAGTGCTAGCCTTGAGCACAGAGAGGTTCAGGGACAGTGCCCAGGCCCTGAATTCAAACCCCAGGACTGGGAAAAAAAAAAAAAAAAGAATTCTGCATCATGGTGGTGCCGTGGTTTAGGCAGCTGTACCCAGGACAGTAGCTTATCCAATGTGCATGAGAGTTGATAAAATGCCAGTATGCTGAAAGGCAGGGAGGCAGGGAGGCAGCGAGCTAAATCTACTCATTTGAGACTGTGTGTGAGTGTGTGCGTGTGAAGGTGTGTGTTGGACTCTGGGAGTGTGTGTGGGCTCATCATGTGTGTGGTGCATTTGAGTGCATGTGATAAGCGCTGAGTGTGTATGTTATGAGTGTGATATGTAATTGTGAAAGTGATGTACCCGAGTGTGTACCAGTGTGTGAGTGAGTGTGTGTGTGTGTGCATGCACGCGCATGGACAGAAGAGCTGGAGTTAGGGAGTGTCATAGGGCAGCTTGGCAAATATTTATGCAGTGCCTTTCTCTGTGCCAGGCTGCTGAAATGAGTGAGTTCAGCACCTGCCCAGAGGAGCTACATAAGGAAAAGACCAACATGCATAAACATCTCCACCAAATCAAAGAGCCAATGGAAGGAAGACCCTTATCAGAAAGGGTGCCTCTTTACCTGCCTCCCAGGAGGCCTGTCTAAGCCAGATTTCTCCTGAATTGGTTTTGCTGTGGGGTTCTGGGAACCCTCCCAGGAGAGACGGAGGGCAGCCAGCCCAGCCCCCTAGGCCTAGGCCCAGCCAGCTCAGGGCACACCCAAACCTGGGAGTGGTGGGTGACCTCCCTCAGACCTGACCGGCCCAGCAACACACCTGATTCCACAGGAGATAAGAGGTGACCAGAAGCTTAGGGCAGGATATAAACAGCCCAGCCCAGGACCACACCCAAGGGGACCCAGGCCAGGTAGGCCCGGATGGGCCCACCTCTGGGTGTTCATTAAGGCCCTGGGGCTGGTGAGATTGGGGATAAAGGAGGTTGGCTCCTAGCAGAGAGGGCAGTCGGGGAGAGTGCTGAGAAAAGCCAAACTACAGGTCTGTGCGGGGAAGATTGGTGTCCCAAGGGGCAGAAGGATGGAGAGCCAGGTGGAGGAGGAAGCCATCTTGGTTCAATGTGAGCCCCAGGCTGCCATTCTCCAGGCACTGCCTCTGGTACACGGGGCTGGGGCCCATTCCCCATCCTCACCCTCACCTGGCCACGGATCTTGGGCCAGCCTCTGGCCTCTTCCATGACAAGGGGACATTCAGTCTCTTCTGGGAACTGTGGGGTGGAGCCAATGAGATAATGGGCTGAGGAAAGCGCCTCATAAACCGAGCCCTAAAGAGCAAAGGTCGGTGAGCAGGGCCGGCTGCTCCCAGCCCCCCACCCCCTGTGCTTCAGCTAAGCTGCCCCACAAATACTCTGTAGCTGAAACTCACTGCTTGGATATTAATCCAGGGCCTGGGCACTGCCCCTGAACTCTTTTGCTCAAGGGTAGCACTCTACCACTTTGAGCCACAGTGCCACTTCTGGTTTTCTAGCGGTTCATTGGAGATGAGTCTCTCCAGGCCTTTCCTGCCCAGGTTGACTTCAAACCACGATCCTCAGATCTCAGCCTCCTGAGTAGCTAGGATCACAGGTGTGAGCCACCGGTGTCTAGCAGGATCTCCCATTTCAAGCAGAAGAAAATGTGAGGACAAAGGGAAGCATTAAGCAAGAGCATTTCATTGTAGGACCCAGAGGCCCATCCCCATTCCTTAGCTAGGTGACCTTAAACAACTCCATCACCTTTCTTAATGTGTACACTCCAGAGATAATGTAGAGGAGAAACGAGCACAGTGCATATCATACGCGCACTCCCAAGAAGTGAGGGCAATAGAAGGCTGCATATTTGCCAAAGCCAAAGGAGCCTGGGCAGCATAAAGCCCGGCCTGGTTATACCTCTGCCTTTGTCCACTACTTTCTTGGCTCACTACTTTCTTGGCTCACTTGCTTCTACTTCAGTTGGGGAAAAAAATATAAAGATAACTTTTTCCAAGATGGCTTCAGAAGATAGGATCTTTCACAACTCCAATAGCCAACCACTTCCTGTCCACTACTATGTTTCTTCACAGCCAGTCAGTCGCATTTCCAAAGACCTGCCATACACCATGTTTTTCTAAGATTGCTTCTTCATCTGCATCTCCCAGTGAATAATCTGCTATCTCCAAGACAACTGGGACATTGTTTCCAACATGCAGGTTTTTTTTTTTCTCTCAGGATGCATCTTCAATGTGTTCTCTAAAATCTGAAGCACTTTTTCTTTTTGGTCAGTCATGGGGCTTGAACTCAGGGCCTCGGCACTGTTCCTGAAGCTTCTTTTTTGCTCAAGGCTAGCACTCTACCATTTGAGCCACAGCACCAGTTCTGGCTTTTTCTTTTTATGTGATACTGAGGAATCGAACCCAGGGCTTCATGAATGCTAAGCAAACACTCTACCACTCTGCTACTTTCCCAGCCCAGCTGAAGCACTTTCAACTTCAACGTTGTTCTTTGCAAGTAACCCTCCAGACGACTCTGTCAGTGAAATGTCCTCTTTAGAACCAGACATGTCATCACTGTAGAAACACAGAAAATTGATTCTGGAATCTGCTGAAGGAGAATTCAATCAGAAATTAACTGAGGTCAGTCAAGAGTCAGTGCCGCCTGTAATCCAAGCTACTCAGGAGGTTTGTGGTTTGAGGCCAGCCTCGTCTACAAGAGTCCTTCTCAAACAAGAGCTGGACACAGGTGGCCTACAACTGTTATCCCAGCTACTGCTGGAAGCCTAAAATAAGCTGATGGAGGCCCAGGCCCAGGTAGGAAACAAGACCTTACCTAGAAAACAACCAATTGTTTTAAACAAGGTCTGGGGATGTGGTTCAGTGGTAGAGTGCCTGCCTAGCAAGCAGAAGGCACCAAGTTCAAATCCCAGGAGTATCTAAAAACTAAGTTAGGTTAAATTAGAGCCCTTCCCAGGAATAGGCTAATAGATTAAAGGACAGAACCTACCAAACCACTCTGCTTCTGTAAAGTGGGAATGATAACTCCTCTCTTCTTGGGAGGACAAAATGAGGTAAAACAGATCCTGGCTATTGCCAAGTATCAATCCTTCCACCATTTTTTTCCCCATCAAGTGCTCATCTCCACTTCAAGACTTTTTTTTGTCCAGTTCTGGGGCTGGAACTCAAGGCCTTAGCACTGTCCCTGAGCTTCTTTCTTTGCTCAAGGCTAGCACGCTACCACTTGAGCCACAGCGCTCCTTCCATCTTTTTCTGTGTAGGTGGTAGAGAGGAATGGAACCCAGGGCTTCATGCACGCTAAGCAAGCCCTCTACCACTCAGCCACATCCCCAACCCCTTCTTCAAGATCTTAACTCTGATCTTATGTCAGACACCAAAGCTAGAAAGTGTATTGCAGATATTCAGCACACAGCTAACATGAATGCAAGAACATTCTAATATTCCAACAAGTTGAACTTGGAGAACCGCAGGTCCAAGCTCTGGCCCACAGCCTGCTAGTTCCTTGGGTGTGAGTGATCTCCCCTTCCAGCCCAACCCCTACCCCCAGCCCGTGAGCCCAACCCTCCCCTCTGGCTGCAGCAAACCCATACCCAGCTGCCTGCCATCTGCCTCTGCCTACCCCCCTCAGCTTGGCGCATCCTCCTGCTTCCTGTCCCCTCCCAACACCATGCCTTACCCAACCTAGAGCCCCACATACCAGTACACAGATAGCTGAGACAAAGGATAGAAAGAGCCCAGAAAGTAGTTTATTGGAGGTTTCCAATAAACTTTCTCCATTCACAGGAGAAAGGATCCGAGAACCCCTATCCTGGTGGGCAGGCTTCACCCTACCTCCTGCTGACCCCGTAGTGGGGCTAGAACAGTCAGTCTGATTACTGGGGCTCCATGGGAACAAGAAGGGGGGGATGCTTTAGAAAAAATAGATCTCTATGTACATCTGACATATTTATAGCACATAAATTAGGGGACCCCCACCCGGGGAGCCCTAGTACTAAGCAGGGAGATGGAAAGGTCCAGAAAGGTGGTGCTGGAGGATACCACCCTGTCCCCTCTGGTCCCGATGCTCCCTCTTGAGGCCTCCCCAGCCTCCTTGGCTGTGTCCAGGCATCTGCAGACGTAGCCAGTGTTGGGTCTTCAAAGAGCCAGGCTCATAGCCGTAGAGTCAGTGCACAAGTGGCTTCAAACCCCAGGGCTTGTAATTCCACAACGAGGGCAGGGAAGAGAGGCCGTGGCCTCCTCTTCAGCACACTGCTGCCAACGTTTGAGCTTCTCTCCACAGCCCGGCAGGGCGCACGCCTGTCCGCACGAGGGGCCAGCAGGGCTGCAGGCCTGCAGTCCAAGTCTGTGCATCAAGTCCCAGGTCCACATCTGACCCTCAGTTCCGACTCTCCACCAGCTCCTCTTCCTTCCAGCCACTGGAGTTCTTGCCAAACTTGTAGACAAGCCTCCGGCCGTCCACCCGCTCCAGGATCTCTCGTTTGTAGTAGTACCTGGGTAAGGGAGAAGGAGGTTATGCTGGGCACTGCCAAGAAAAGGCCTCTGTGGACCTGTCCCTTCTAGTTTCTGCCAAAGCAAGCTGAACCTGACCTACACTGTTCAGAATTCTCTCCTTCCTCTACCTGTTTGCTGTTGTCTCCCTGGTTGATAACGTGGGGCACAGCACCTGCCTCTGCACCTGGTTGCTCTGTGTGTGTGTGTGTGGCCATGTCCTGGGGAGCTGGAAGGGACCTTAGAGATGAACTTAATCTGCATTTGTGGCACACAAAAGCTCTTTCTACATTTCCCGAGTGTCTCTCTTAGATCCAGTCTTGTAGATAACCCAACAAAACGTTGCTGCGAGCCGACACTGGCTGTGCTCCCGACATGCCCGGCTAAACACTTGATCCTCCCCGTAGGCTAACCTTGGCCCGAGCTCTAGGAGCCTCACACTCATCCCATGATGCCCAGCGGTGATCAGAACACTAGCGATCTGGGCCAGATCAACCGTTCCTTCCATGTCCATCTCTGAACAAGGACCCAGGTCGCCAGCTCACCTCATGGCCCGGCTCAGCTTCTCGTAGGTCATATTGCTGTTCTTTTTCTTTTGGCCCCACAGCTGGGCCACGGCCTCGGAACGCAGGAACTTGAAGACGCCCTCGTGCCGATTCTCCCATTTCATGAGGCCTTCGTTGAGTTCAGGGTGGATAAGGATGTCCCGGATGAACTCCCACAGGTGGGTGCCTCTGGGGGCTACAAGGCCAGATTCGCTCAGTTAGAATCAAGGCGTCCCCCTCACTCAGGCCAGTCCCAGTGCACGCTGTGGAATGAGTCCTTCTAGACAGAAGCCCTTGTAATGACCTTGTGGCCCGCTTTCCTGCTCCTTGCCCTTAGCTGAAGTTCTCCGGGAGACCGGACGTATTTTACAGCCGTCTCACTTTTGACATTGACCAAATGTCTGGCTGGTGTGGACAGTGACTGGACACATTACGGCCAGTGGGACTCACAGATGGGTGGGGGCCACAGAAAAAAAAAGAGAGAGAACACACCGACAGATGGGTGACAAGTTGGCAAGTATGGGGTCAGAGAATGGGTCCCAGCGTCGAGGGCAAGGGAACAGCTTTCTGACAAGAAAACCCCCAGGACAAAGAAAATCAGGCCGGGAGTGTATACGTGCACGCTGGTGTGTATAAGAGAGGAAGAAAGGCAAGGAAGCCCTAAGGGCATCCAAACCGGAGTTCGGAGCATCTGGATCACACCATGCCTGAGGCCCCCTTCCCACCCCCTGAAGGCTGGGGTGTGGAATCTCAGCCTACCTAGGTCTTTCACAGAAACACCCACCAGCTGCCTCTGCGCACCACTGGCACATTCCAACCCAACAGGCAGGGAAGTGGCCAGTACAGAGAGAACTAGAGTTGGTGAGCAGGAAGCCCGGACTCATGTCATGGGCCTCCCTCCAGGATCCTCTGTTTCCCCTCCTCTCCAGGACTACCAAGCCAGCTTCTTCAACAAGGTGATGACTGAGCCCTCCCACTGTGTTGGGAGCAATGAAGCAGGAGACAAAAGGAAGGGGGAAGAGAAGACGGGGGACACTGGACAAGGAATACAGGGTCCCCAGGAGTCGCTCCTCCCACAGCGGGGTCGAGGCTCACCGTGCTTGCTCTTCTTGCCCTCCATGCACTCCCAGTACTCTTTGCTCAGCTTTCGGGGCCGACCTCGTTTCCGCTTCCCATGCTTGGGTTCCCCCTTCTTGTAGTCAGGAAAGCCATCTATGAGGAGGGAGTTGGGAAGGGGAGGGTCAGCGGGAGACCAGGCCCCCTACAGCAGGCCGGCAGGAAGGGCTGGGACTCCCCGCTGTTCCCCACTCACTTCTGGGGAAGACTTTGCTGTCAGTGGGGTCCAAGTCCACGTCACTTCCACCGGAGTCTGAGGAGTGGGGGCTTTGGGAAGTGGTGGTCCCTGGGGTGGGGACGGGAGGAGGGGGGAGATAGGTCAGAACAATGATCTGGGCCAGCCCAGCCACCACTCACAAAGGCCCCAGGCTCTTAGGACGGGTCTCCATGTTAGAAGGCCCAGAGCCGGAGCAGCCCCTCACCTGCTGTGGAGATGTCAGAACTGCCGGGGGAGAGGGCGCTCACGCTGTAGCTGCTGCCGTAGTAGGGGCTGGCCTGGCGGCCATCGTCCAGCAGTTCCTGGGTAAAAGGGCTTCCCTGGTCTGGGGAGAGGAGACCGGAACTCAGAGAGGCTCAGGGGGACTGGCTAGGGCAGGCAACAGCAGGTAAGGCTACCTAGGACGGTCTGGATCTTTCTAAGTTGGGAGAGGAAGAAGTCTGAGGAGAGGTCATCGCCAGTCCTCTGGGAAAGACCAGAATGGGACAGGACAGGCCTGGGAAGGAGGGAGAAATGGGGGTTCTCACCAAAGGAGCCTGGGTCCCCCAGGGCCTCCTGGAAGGCCATGCCGTCCTTCTCCAGCAGCTCGATGATCCAGCTGAGCTCATCAGAAGAGCTGGAAGCTGGGCAGAAGGAATGAGGGTCAAGGCTCCTATCTTTGGCCCAGCCCTCGGCTCCCCTGGTCCCCTGTCCCCCAGTCATGATGCTGGGTCTTGAACTTACTGAGATCCCGTAGCTGGGCGTGGAGTTGGTCCCCCAGAGGCCCGAAGACCAGCCGCAGCTCCTCGAGTGCGCAGTTGCAGAGCGTGGCCCCGTCCATGTCACAGCGCGAGAAGTCGATGGAACTGGCGTCGTACTTGTTCTTTTCCACTTGATAGCTGATCCAGTCCAGAACCTGGGCCTTCGACCAGAATTGCGGCTGTTCCCCAGACCAGCTGGCCTTCTCTGAGAAGAGTACAGGGGAGATCAGTGCAGATCCCGTCTCCAGAGCCCCCCTCACACCTTAGAGATCCCCAACCCAGCAGCAGAGTCTAGAGACGATATTCCCAACGCCCTGGCTGCTGAGAATGAACAAAGTCTCCTCTGCCCCGAGCCCAGGAATTCTCTGAGACTCTTCTTTGTACCAATCCCCCCATTTATCCCGTTTTATCCCTCTTCACCAACCCCATACCTTCCAGAGACATCGGGGGGTTGCTCAGGGTCACCACTAAGTCGTCGGCTCCAAAGGTGGTGGCGGCAGAGGGAACAGAAGCCAGCGTGGGGTCCTCAGAGCTATACATGGCACTGAAGTAGTTGCTGAAAACGTTGCTAATCTCACAGGTTGCAGCCATGAGGCTCCCTGGGGAGAGGGGACACCGTTGGTGAAGGCACCCGGATTCTCCCCACGGCTCTGTCCAGGGTAAGAATAGCCCCCCAAGGGTCAGGAAGTTGATGTCCCTGCAGGCACCCTCTTTTTATGAGAGGGCCCTAAGAGCCCGATGCAGAGGTAACACCCGAAGTCCCAGTTACTTGGGTGGCTGAGAGGGACAGATCGCTTGAGCCCAGTGAGGCCAACGAGGCAACATGGTCAAACAAAGGGAAAAAAGGGGGGGAGGGAGGGAGAGCCCTGGAAGTCCGGGAGAGGGGAGGCCACTAGATTCTCCTGCTGGCCTCCCTCCTCAGATCAAGGGATCCTCAGTGGCCACCCTGTCCCGTGCTGCTCCTCGACCCTCAGGACACCTCCACGGTCCTGCAGTCCCTCTAGGAGTGGGTAGGTCCAGAACTGTGAATCCACCAGAGCCCTGGCCAGTTTCCCAAGACCAGTAAACGTGACAGGAAGGAGTCCTACCGAGTCTGGTACGGATGCCGCAGGTAGGCTGCTAGGCTTCCAAGGCCCCAGGTGGGAAAGAAATCCAGGAGGCGGAGTGCACCGCCAGGTAGCTGTGAGGAGTCTGGCCACCGAGCTCCCCCACCCATCCTAAATAGAGCCGGGCGGAGCTCCTCCCAGAGCCCAGACCTTGAGGGTGAGTCTCGGTGGTAACCTGAGCTGGTGGCTCATTGGATGGAGGGGATTTCCTGGCCTTCAGACTGGGCTCCAGGCCCCAGGTGATTTGCATATTGTGTGCCACTTGGCCCAGATCCTAGTAAGGCGGTGCTGAGAAATCAGGCCCTGCTGGTTTAATGATTGTCAGACTCTGGGGTTGGGCTCCGGGCGCTGGACTGGGCAGGTGGCGGGAACGTTGCTGGGGTGGGCACCCTTGCTTTCAGCCACCCTCTGGCTCAGAAAATTCTTTCCGGAGGCCAGGCCAGGGATGGGCTAGGGAGGAGAAAGGGCAAGTGGCTGAACTGGGTCAGAAAGGCTGCTATCCTTAACTGCCTATAGATCTGAGGACCAAAGTTACCTAGGAAGAGGTAGCAATTTTCTCCACCACCACCCAGGAGTTGGAGTGTAGGCTGAAAGATACAAGGCTCCTCCTCAGGCAGTGTTTTTGGCTTGCTGGACATAGGGCTGCACCCATCAGCCTAGCCCTGGATCCAACTCCCCAGTCACCGAGCTCATTTGCTTTTTATCCACTTTACTGGCAAGATCTTAACACTTTGGCCACCTGGACCCCATCCAAGCCTCAAGGTTGCTACCGCCACTTGGGAAAAGAGGTGACCCTACGTGAATGTTTTTCCTCCCATGGAGGCCTGACAGAGGAGCCCTCCCTGTCTAGGGGCTGCTGGGGGTGTTGGAATCTGCGGAGACATTCACTCTCTTCCGTTGGGTTTCCCCGCCTCATCTCCAGTTCTCTCGGCCAGTTCACCAGTGTCTCACTGCTGCCCTCTAGTGACCAGTCATCAAAGAATGTATAACATACTAGTTTACCTCATCTAGAAAAAAAAGGGAGAAAAACGGAAAGCTAGTGAGTAGTGTAGAGTTGTGCTTTGTGGGTTGGTAAGTGGTAAAGTTAAGGAAGCTTCTTCATCTGTACCGGGATCTCTGGTTGCCTCCTTTCCCACTCCACAAGGCCCAGAACCCTGGTGTCTTCTGGTTCTCTATAGGTTCATCATAGGGATGGGTTCTCACAGATATCCTGGAGAAATGGGGTGTTGAGGAGGAGGTGGGAGATTTGCATTTTGCTGACCACGAACATGATTTTAGGCAAGTCACATGATCCTGTAGCCAAGAAGTGCTGAGCATGGTTCATGCCTATAATCCCAGAAACTGGAGGCTGAGGCAGGATTGCCGTTCAGCCACACGGAGCCTGCCTCAAAATCCCAAACCTCTGCCTCAAAACCAACCAAACTAATTTAATCCCACAAGGTTGCGGTGGTCTAATAATCCCTGAGGTCTCTTCTAGGTCCAGTTGGTTTGGTGTTTGTTTATGCAGCGAGGAAGACCCACCCCAGGCCCAAGCTCCCAGCTTTTGTCCTTCTACCCCCTCTCATCCCATTCATATGGACACAATCCCCAGGTGATTCTAGGGTTAACAATAGGTGACCCCCCACCTTCAGGTACCCCTCTTGACTCAGCAGCCTAAGGACTACCAAGGTCCCCTCAGAGGGAGTGTTCCATCTCCCTTGTCTCTAAAACCGCTGGTACCTCAGGAAGAGGGTGAATCTTATCAGGGTCCCCTCCCAGGGCCCGAGGCTGCAGGGCAGCCTGGGGGGCTCTGGGTAGGATTTTCCCCAGCCCCAGGAGCCTGGGGCAGGCACACCCTCTAGCTAGTCATTCACCCTGGAATGTGGGAGAACCGGCTTCTAGCCCCAGAGCTGCTCACGTGCTCCTGCCCTGCGGAGCACCTGGCTGGGGCTCTGCGGAGCCGAAGGGAGCGTAGAGAATGAAGCCATCAGCTACTCAGCCTTCTCCGAGTTTCTGCTAGGCAGGGGTGGGGCTAAGGACATCCTCTAGGCTGGCCCTTCCCTCCAGGGAATGCCTTCAAGTAAGGAAGAAGAGCCGGAAAGACCTGGATTTGAGGTCAAAGCCTTGGAGGGGTGGGGAGAAGGTGCTGTGGAGCAAGAGGCCAGAAACCTAAAGTCCTGCTCTAGACATCGCGATGGCAGGAATAGACATTGTCTTCCCCCAGAGAGCCCAGATGGTGGCCTAGACTCATCTTCGGGATGGAAGAAGAACAGAACCGCCCCCCCCCCCAGCCCCGCATCCCAGTCCTGTAGTAGGACAGGCCCATGCAGAAATCAGGCAAAGCAAAAATGGTAAAAGAGACCAGCAGGCTGAACCACCTGGGATGCCCTGCCACGAAACGGGGACTCCCCAAACCCAGGGAAGTCAAAGGAGCTGTTAGCCCGTCGGTGCAAAAGGGTTTGTGCAGAATAAGCAAAGTTTCTGGTCTTGACTAGTAGCCAGATACCGAGGTAGGAAGGGCAGGCAAGTTACAGCATTATTTGTCCAGGCAGTGAGTACTAGGGATGGAACTCAAGGCCTCCCATTCGCTTGCTAGGTGAGCCCTCTCCCAGCTGAGCCACTCTCCCAAACCTTTTGCTCTTTGTTGTTTGGATAAGCTCTCAAGCTTTTGTCAAGGCAGCCTCGAACCTCTGTCTCCTCAGCAGCTGGATTACAGGTGTGTGCCACTATACTTAGACATAAATTTATTTTTAACATTCCAATCCTCTCCCAACCCCCATCCCACTCACAAGCCCAAGGTGTTAACTGCAGAGTTCAGCATGCTGAAGCCAGGAAATAAGGATTAGTGCCAAGTTCTGAACAGACTACTGATCACCACTAAGCCAGTGCTAAGCCAGTGTGGCCCAGCAAAGTGAGGGAAGGGAGAAAACGGGAAAGGATTGTGTGTGTGTGTGTATGCGCACACACGCACGTACTGGTTCTGGGGCTTGAACTCAGGGTCAAGGCACTATCCGTCCCTTAGGCTTTTTTGCTCAAGGCTGGTGCTCTACCACTTAAGCCACAGTTGCACTTCTGGCTTTTTTTTGTGTGTGTGGTTAATTGGAGATACTTCTCACAGATTTTCCTACCCAGGCTGGCTTTTGAAGGATCCTTAGATCTCATCCTCCTAAGTAGCTAAGATTACAGGCATGCGCCACTGGCACCTCACTAGGAAAACACCCTTTTCGTGTACATGTGTGTGATGGAAGAGAAGAACGGGTTGATGCTGCTCACTGGGAACACAGCTGCTTCGCCGAGAGCTGCAAGGCCCCTAATCACCCCTATATCTTCCCAGAAATGGCCCCATTGTAGGGTCATATTCCTTGTTTCAGAGACATGTGCAGAGTCTTTGAGCCCACCAGGTCCCTAAAGTCAGAGAAACAAATCATTGCCTGGGCTCCGCAGCCATCTCCCCAAGGAAGACCCAGGAAGAAGAAACTTAACAGTCACTTAATTGCCAGGCGCTGGTGGCTCATGCCTATAATCCTAGCTACTCAGGAGGCTGAGATCTGAGGATTGAGGTTCAAAGCCAGCCCGGGCAGGAAAGACCGTGAGACTCCTATCTCCAATAAACCACCAGAAAACCAGAAGTGGCGCTGTAGCTCAAGTAGTAGAGCGCTCCCCTTGAGCTGAAGAGCTGAGGGACGGCGCCCAGGCCCAGAGTTCAAGTCCCACAACCGACAAAAAAAAAAAAAAAAAGAAAAAAACAGTCACTTAATTATCTACATTTTGCTTAAAAACATTTATTTAAAATCTAAAAAGAAAGGAAGAGAAAGAAAACTGCCTCTCTGCAACTCCCAAACGTAAGTGGGAAGTCGGCAGAAGATCGATTCTCCTCCCTCCAGCAAGGATGGAAGCCTGCAGGGAGGGGGCTGTGGTCTCAGACCCGGGGGCGGAAGTTCTCACCACAGCAGAGGCCCCAGAGTCACACACCCAAGCCCCAAGAACGGCCAAACCCAAGAAGACAGACACTGCAGTCTGATGACTGAGGAACTGGAATTTGGGCGCACTGTCATTCTGAAAGCCAGTCTGAAAGCAGAGCATGTGCATGACCTCTAACTGCCCTTGGGCTCCAGGATCTGCTGCACATAGTTGACCACGTTGCTGTGGAGCTGGGAGGCAGTGGATGCGAAGGTGTCCTTGGCCAGGGTCCGGGCCACCTCACTGCCAGCCATCATCGCATGGTACAGCGGAAGAGTGTACTTCTGCTTTCCCTGCAAGACACAAGGACGCCATCGTCAGGAGCAGCCTGTCAGTGCCACGGTCAGCGGAAGGCCATGCCGCCGTTCCTTCGTGAGCTCCCAAAACCAACGAGGTGGGTTGACACAAGGGAACGGCGAACTTGAGAATGGCAAAAATGAGAAAGCTGGAGGCCATCAGCCACCCAGGTAATGGCGGACATAAAACCCAGGTTTGAAGGTCTAAGCGCCATCAAGCAGAATAAACTGTAACTGTAAATGCTTCCACTGCATGCTTGGAGAGGCGCCAGAGGCCTCCACACTCCTAGCGCTTAAGGCGCCCTCCAGCTTCCCAGTGAGGGCGGCTCCACCCTGCCCTGCCCCGCTGCTGTGGATCTGCCGATGCCTGGCTCACCCCGCCGCCCCTGTGCCCTGGCCTTCTCCAGCACGGCAGCTCTGACAGGATCGGATGGGCTGGTGTTTGAACTGCACCCGAGTCCTGGGGCTTCCCAGGGAGGAGAGAACTATGGGGTCTTGGCCCTTGCCCATCTCGCTAGTCCTTCGGCCTCTGCGTTTTTTCCCCATGAGCTTTCTCCCATTTCATTCCATTCCCCTCCCTTCAGTTTGGGTTAGCTCTGGACACCTCTTCTCCCTCAGGCCTCACCAGCTGCTCTATGGCTCCCTCATTCCCCAGGAAAAAGCCTCTAGGAGCCACAGTAATAATAGCTCATGGGGGGGGGGGTGTTGATCAGCAGGGCTTCTACAGTTCATCAAGCTCCTTTCTTTGCAGGCTCTGCCCATAGGGTGGTGACCAGCGTGCCTGTGGCTGGAGGCGGGCGGGGGGCGCTGGGAGGAGAAGGACAGTAGTGAGATGAGGTC